TGCCGGATCTGCTTTTGGACAGAAACTAAGCTAAGACAGTCTCCTTAACATGAGAAGAGCTCAGAACTTTACTCTGGTTTTCCTTTTTTGACAGGGGTTAGTAAAGCACAAACGTTAATTCTTTCCCTATTGTCAACATGCCCTTCTTATTTTCAGACAGATTTCATATTACCAGTGAATGATGCACAGAAGCATGAACAAGCCGTTTCCTTTGAATGATATCTATTTCAAACGAATGCCAGTTAGGAAAATACATTTCTTACAACAAGAAGAATCTTATCCCAGTTTCCATATTTATATTAAAAACATTTTGCTAGCATGACATAAAAGAACACTATAAAATAAACAGAACTTCACATACCTTCAGGTTATAGCTTATTTTTCTGCAAAGAGACCAAGTATTAACATCCACAAAAAAGAATCTAAATAGTTTAAAAATACCTTGCAGGAAAAAAAAATGCAGAGACTCCATTCTTCTATGAAGTTGGGTGTGAATGATTTAATTCTTCGACTGTTATGTCTGTCTGTGAGTCAGCTGTTCCCATTACTAGTAGACATTGTATTGAATGTCAAATAATGTGGTTTCTAAAATATAGCATCAAGTATCCTTTAAGAATTTTTCTCAGTTAAGCTAATGATTCAACGTTGTGTTTCTATAAAGCCACAGTTAAAAAATATTTACAGATAATTCACAAGGCAGGAAAATGTTCAATCAAATGTGGAAATTTTAAAGCTGATGAACAGCTTGATGATATCCTAGGATACCCATCTTTTGCCCCCTTCTATACTTATTTAATGTATAATCATTCATTAACTGTCAGAGATGACTGAATTTACCGGCTAAGCAAAGTTTTTAATTTTCTACATTTATTGCTGCCTTCTAACATCACACAATTTTTTAAATTTCAAATTTGCTTATAAACAGGATGCAGGAAGATCATTAATGTTTACAGAATTTTAATGCTTTTTCAGTAGTTGTGATGGTTAATACTGAGTGTCAACTTGATTGGATTGAAGGATGCAAAGTACTGATCCTGGGTGTGTCTGTGAGGGTGCTGCCAAGAGAGATGAACATTTGAGTCAGTGGGCCGGGAAAGGCAGACCCACTTCATCTGCGTGGGCACAACCTAACCAGCTGCCAGTGCGGCTAGAATATAAGCAGGCAGAAAATGTGACAAGAGAGACTGGCCTAGCCTCCCATTCTACATCTTTCTCCCATACTGGACGCTTCCTGCTCTCGAACATCGGACTCTCAGTTCTTCAGTTTCGGAACTCGGACTGGCTCTCCTTGCTCCTCAGCCTGCAGACGGCCTACTGTGGGACCCTGTGACAGTGTGAGCTAATACTTAATCAACTCCCGTGTGTGTATATATATATATATATATTCCATTAGTTCTGTCCCTCTAGGGAACCCTAATACAGCAGTAAAAAGTTTATTACAATTTTTTCTTTCTTTTTACACTCCTCTCAGCTCATACCTATGTTTTTTACTTTCATCAAAATAAAATATCCTTGAGAGGTAGTTACATGCTTTCTCGAAATTTTAGAAGTACAGTATCTGTTTTTAGATCAGCGTATTATAAGAACTCTATTATCATTAATCAATAGTGGTAATCTTATTTTTAGATAAAAGTATCTGAACTCAATACCCTCAAACTCTGAAACATAAAAGCACACTCCATCTATATTATGTTTAATGCTTAGAATTAAGATGTTATAAAGCTCCTGAAACAGAAAAACCAAGTATCCTAAACACTCCACAGGTTTGCCAGGTATTATAGTGTACAGGCTGAACCATGGTTCTGCTATATTAAGATTCTCACTTTTATACACTTCGACAGCTCAAAAACCCACATGCATCTTCCAACCAATGGAATCACAGTTTACCTGGCAGCACAGTTTTTTTTAGTGGTACATAAAATAAAAAAAACTGAAAACTGATTTCTTATTTTCAATAAAACACTGTAGTTCAACCAGCACTTAAATAGCTGGTATGGGCTTTATTTTTATTTTTTAATTGGCATTTTGGACAACTCCCTTAAAATACTAAAAAATGTCACTTTTCTATACAAACAAATGAAGTAGAACTCTAAGATGCCACGAAGCAGGTGTAACTAACATTTATAGACGTGCTCTAAAGCATCACGATATTTTTTAACTTACTAAAATGATTTCTACTATTTACTACAGAATTAAATAAAATAAATGAGTAACTATAAAAGGAACTGCTTGTTTGAGGAAAATTTTTTTTCTGGTTTTGAGACAAGGTCTTGCTCTCCTGGCCAGGCTGGGGTGCAGGAGTGCAATCACAGCTCACCGTAACCTCAAACTCCTGGGCTCAAGCAATTCTCCCACCCCGGCCTCCTGAAGTGCTGGGATTACAGGTGTGAGCCACATTGCCTGGCACGTATTCTGAAATTTTAAAACCTATTCTACGAGAAAAAAGGAAGGGATTACAGAAATATTATTTAGTTGCTAAATGGAAATCTTAAGTCTGCTTTTCAAACCTGTTTGGCCAGCACTCTAACAAGTTTCAGCCATTGGCTCACTGCTCATGCATGGCTTATTGAGCAAATACTGGCTGGTAAAAATTTATAAACTAGTATGTTTTAAAATTTCTCTGCAAGACTGGCTTTAAAGCAATCTTTTAAAATGAGAACAACTGTTGAAGTTTATCTTAAGACATCTTAGTTTTCACATTTCCAAGCAGAAAATGCAAACAAGTAAAATATTACACTTCAGTCATGCACACCAAATATCGTAGCAAAAACCTGTATTTTTTCTTAGTGTTTTCACTAAAAGATCATGCAAACTAGGAGAGCCTAGTATCTTTTTAAACCAACGGTCATGTTGGCACCATACTAAATTGTGCATAATGTATCTTTGAGACTAAGAGGCTAAAAAAAAAAAAAGTAATAATACAGGCCAGGTGCGGTGGCTCACGACTGTAATCCCAGCACTTTGGGAGGCAGAGGCGGGTGGATCACCTGAGGTCAGGAGTTCGAGACCAGTCTGGCCAACATGGTGAAACCCCATCTCTACTAAAAATACAAAAATTAGCCGGATGTGGTGGCGTGCGCCTGTAATCCCAGACACCCAGGAGGCTGAGGCAGGAGTATCACTGGAACCCAGGAGGTAGAGGCTGCAGTGAGCTGGTATCACGCCACTGCACTCCACCCTGGGTGACAGAGCAAGACTCCATCGCAAAAAAAGAAAAAAAAATAGTAATAATACAATAGAGTGATATTTTTAAGAGGAGAGAAAGTAAACTGAAAAATTGGAAGCCTGTAACATTCGTATTTTCCATATTAAAATACATTCTCCAGATTCACCAAACTTGGGAGTCAAATTTCCAAGACATTTTCTTGTTTCAATGGTATCCTTTATAGCACATAATAGTGTACAAGTGATTCTACTTCCAGTTGGCTACATCCAAGCACCACCATCTTTACTGGAAACAAAGAATATATGTTTATTAAGTATTTAGCAAGCAACATCATTCATTTTGCAACTTGAAGTAGGTAGTTCGACCTCAAATGCAGATATGAAAACAATTTTACCTTCAGAAGTATTAAAAAAAAAAAAAAGCTGAATTCTGCATCTAAAATAATTAGGAAAGACACTGTCTCCTTAGTCATGAGTTATTACTGCAGCACCTTTGTAAGGCGCCCGAGGAAGTTGCTTTCTCACTAGGCACTGTTTCCCAGTGATGAAAATGACAGCTTGGCTTAGGTATACCCTTTTGAGGGTCCATCAATACAGCACTCAGGAAGTGGTGCCAGGCTTGGAGAAACAGGCGAATGAATGCAGGATGGCGTGCTTCCTGAACCTGGTTCTTCCACAGACAGTCAAGGTCAGAGTGGGACTTACTTTCTCTGTGGGCATATGATAGAGAAACTATGAAAGTATAAAACAAAATGCTGAAAGTATAAAACCTTGCTGGCCAGGGTATCATGCCAGCAAGAATGATGGACAGAGTAGAGAGAAGAGAAAAGAAAGAGGCCTTTTAACAGCAAAACCACAATACAGACGAGAAGCTCAGAGTTTCGGGATCACACCAGGTACAAGCTTCTTTACGTTGGTTTAGATTTTCAGCAACAGCTGGGAAGAATTGAGGTGTGTTAGAAATTCACTATCCTGGGTAAATGGATAAAGCACTAAATCATGTTTAGGGACTAGTTCTTTGCAGCAAATTTAAATTTGACATCCTTATTAATAATGAATGATTTAGCTACATTAAAAATAAACTGTAAGATTTTTGCAAGTATTTCAATGTATAGAACAGAATGAAATGTAAACTACTCTGGTAAAATATATATCCTACTATAATTACATATAGAAATAAAAATTATTCTTATTAGCCCCCTTAAAATGAACACTAAAAATAAGTCTTACAAAAAGTATAGAGCAGTATTTGAATTTAAATTATTTTTTATCCTGATTAAAACAAATGCTACCTGTTACTTTTGTGACAAAAAATATTTGAGAGGTCAATAAGAAATGTTCAACCATGTTTTCAGGATAAAATGAGTAACGGGGAAATCATAGTATAGTGCCTGGGAAACAGCATATGCTCAAGAAAGGTTTTTTTTTTTTGTAAATCTGGAACCAAGGATTTTATTACCAATGATAATATGATGTTTGCACAACATTAAGAGTCAAATCAAATCACAGTTTTATCTATTATGGTTCTAAACTAATTACAAAATATTACAAAAAATAACAACGCTTTTCTGTAAGATACGTGTATTGGCTGGGCACGGTGGTTCACGCCTATAATCTTGCACTTTCAGAGGCCAAGGTGAGTGAATCGCTTGAGTCCAGGAGTTCAAGACAAGCCTATGCAACGTGGCAAAACTCCACCTCTACAAAAAATACCAAAATTAGCCATGATGTGTACCTGTAGTCCCAGCTACTCAAGAGGCTGAGGCAGGAGGATCGTTTGAGCCCTGGAGGCAGAGGCTGTAGTGAGCCAAGACCACACCAGCCTGGCCTCAAAAAAAAAAAAAAAAAAAAAAACCTGTATTAGACACTGTGTATCACACAGTAGCAGCGTTTGTTTTCTTATGACCAAATTAATGGTCAAATTGTTTTTTACTGAAAGCAAGTTTCTACCTTATCAAAAGTAAGAAGTTAACACAAAGTATTAAGTAAAAATGATAATGTAAGGATGCAGAATATTCTTTAGTTTTTTAAAAATACACATAAATATGTGTATACATAAATGTGTACAGAACTTTTGAAACCTATACATATTCAGTTATTAATTTAAAAAATCTAACAGACTTTTACTTAAAAATCGTTTGAGAAACTTTTGAACCCCTTTCTTTGAAGTAGGCAGAAGTCCTGCATTGAAAAACAAAGGACTTATCTAAGAACAGAAGGATTTCTTCAGAATTTTCCAAGTTGTTGCAGCTTGTCAATCCCTCCCCCCACAGTACCACAAAGTAGTGTACACAAAAGGATGGGGGAAAAGGTGATTTTCCTTAACACTGGCCACTGACACACCTTGAAGCCATACTTGGTTTAACCAAAGCCTATGGTGATCAACTGGCCTTTGCAGAATAATTTAACTACTCAACAGCTGGAAAGAGAAACAAGATTTAGAGAAAAAAGCACCATGCTGATGAACAACAATATTGCCCATATTAAGCTCTATTTTCTGAGTCAAAGTTTGGGTCATGTAAAAGTAAAACTGGCCCCAGAGAAGAGAACCGTTTCTCACAGATTGCCATTTAAACCTCAAATGACCATGTTTCACAGCAGGCTCAATACATTCCAGCATGTAACTGCATTTTAATTTCCTAAAACCACAGGATATAAGTCTGATTTCAAATAGTGTCTGGACTGTGACATTCAATACTGATAAAACTGTGTGTGATATTCTCTTGAAAGTTCCACAGATTCAGCATATGAAAAAAAGATCTTCGATTTCTTCGAAGCACTTATTCTCAAAGAAATTTACTCTCGAGTTTTGTAAATGAATTCTAAACAATGAAGATTAAGAGCTAAAGCTACTGCCATAAGAAATGTAACCTACTAGTTATAGGAAAAGAACACACAATATATTCATCGCTCACAAGGATATAGTATGTTCGTGACAAAAATGGTCATTATGAGACTTTAAATATTTTTTGCCATGTTCATTAGTATGTATTCTGGAAAATAATTTTTAAATATATTAACATGAATGTTTATTTGAATGTCTATTCAATGGATAGAAATTATTCAGTCATCTTTTCAACTTTATAAAAGGAGAATTTGTGTTTAGTCTCCAAGTATGATGTAAGAAGAAATGCAACCTTTAAAACTGATCAATAAGGAAAAAAAGAAGGCGAAGCTATCATAAGTTGGGGAGTAAGAAATTTAGGATCATAATATTATTGGAATGCAACTTAAACAGAAAAAGTTTTATATGTGAACATGAAATCTTTTAGTAAGATGTTCAGCAGTTTTCATCATAGGGACTGGACTAACCTGACCTTAAGAAAGCTAGAGGAGAAATTTTTTTTGAGGGAAGAGAGGAGAGTAGATAAGTGTATGCTTTCTCTTATAATCCTATTGCCTTTGGCTTTCAGCCTGACTCCAAAACTGATTGACAAATTTAATATTTGTTTTTAAGCAACATATCCGATCAATGAGGTGTAACTTTACTCAGAAGGAAATGATCAGACGTTGACTAATAATTTCAGGTGTGGGAACTATAAAGCTCTGGTTATTCTAAGAAACCTAAACATCCAGAAAAACTGGGGCTAATGCCACGGTACCTGGCATATGAGTCATCTGTGTCCCTACGGTCACTCGTCATCAGATTCTAAGGTATCATCATGTGTAAGGAGGAGTCACTCTTGATTTCATAACAGCTTTTCAAGGAGATAACAAAATATATTACATGAGCCTTTTTTTCTACACGAAAAACCTGATTTGTGAAACAAATGCATATCTTAGAACTGAAGAAGTTACTGCATCCCTTTCCCTGCCCCCTTATCTTTCATTTGGTTTTGCCCCATCTACTCCTCTCTCCTCCTCCAGGCTTTCCATTGATCTTTCCTTCTTTTTTCCCAAACTTAGACAACGGGTGGTAGCTAGAAAAATGTTCATACTCTTATGAAATAAGGATTAGGCATCTCCTCTGTGGTGGGGTTCTATGAGGCCTCAAAGTTCAATTAAGCACAATTGAGAATATTAAGGAACTTTAAGGGGAAGACAAGCCTGTCAACTTAATGCAACCCATCCCAAGAGCATCAGCACCCGTGCCTGTCTTACAAAGCCATGGCTGAAAGCCGGGAGGACTACGAGGGTTGTGTGGAGGAGTGGTGCTTTGAACTGTGAGTGGTACTTAGACTACAGGGAGGTAAACAAAACTGCACGATTTTGCAGAGAGAGAGAGCACAGTAAATAAAAGTAAATGCAGACAAAAGCCTGTGGCAGATATGGGATGCAGCATTCTAATTTGGCAAGTGACCACCAAAAAACAGTAATGGGGGCTGTTCTTAGCATGTTTATCTCATTTTAATCCTCATTACAGCTCAATAAGGTAGATCCTATTATTATCTCCATTTTAAAAGTGAGAAATCTGAGACCAGGGAGATTATTAAATTGCCTGAGGGCATACAGTTTACCAGCTGATCATGAAGCCGGGATTTGAATCCAGGAAGCCTAACTCCAGGGCTATACTTTTTTTTTTTTTTTTTTTTGAGACAGAGTCTTAGACTGTTGCCCAAGCTGAAGTGTAATGGCGCAATCTTGGCCCACTGCAACCTCCACCTCCCGGGTTCAAGCGATTCTCCTGCCTCAATCTCCTGACTAGCTGAGATAACGGCACTGACCATCAAGCCTGGCCAATTTTTGTATTTTTAGTAGAGAAGGGGTTTCACCATGTTGGCCGGGCTGGTCTCGAACTCCTGACCTCAGGTGATCTGCCTGCCTCGGCCTCCCACAGTGCTGGGATTATAGGCGTGAGCCACTGCACCCAGCCAGGGATATACTTTCAATGTCTGTATATACTTTTAGTACACAGAACACCGAAAATGGAACAATGGGGAACAAAATACGGCTGGGACTATACTGGAGGGGTACACCAGAGATAAGAAGAAGGTCAAAGTATTGTCACAAAATCCATTACAGTCTGTTTGCCTCCATGAAACCATTCTACAACTTTATTCTGTCCAGTTGGTCAATATATCTATCTCCTCTACACTGACTAAATAATCCAACTAGAAGTCAATTTTTAGGCACTGTGATAGTTGGAAAAGATATGGATATTGATATCAGCCCCTCAAAGCATATAAAAACTAACCTAATGGGAGAAGCCAGGTCAGTAAGTGGCACGAGCACATGAGGTTTCTTAATTTTGTGCCAAACTGTGAGTGTGAGTTTGTGTGCATGTGCAAAGTCTTCCTCTATCTTATACACACACACACACACACACACTCATGCACAGCATGCTCTATAATATATACAAAGCTACCTGGATCTTGTTAACAGCCACAGCCACAGTCACACACACATGGATCATAAAAACAAAGCCAATGATTTCCAGCTGAGCTCAGCTCCAAACGTACCTGCTTCTGGGTCCTGGTTGAAACGGCAGTACTTGGAGTTTTCAAGTGCGGGCAGGCATTGCTCAATGGGGACCCAAACATATGTCTCGGGGCACAGCAAATCAGAAGGTCTATACTGACCCTGAAGAAAGGTGAAGGAAAAAGGCACAGGCATTATTAACACAGCAACGCCAGAGAAAAAGGGACCAGGGATCTAGGAAAGGTTTAAAGCAAAAACTTAAAAGTCAATCAGAAACTGTTTTACTGTAAATACTAAGCAACCCTGTAGCTGATAGCTTTCCCATCTCAGGAAAGCACGTCTGACTCAAGGCTCTCTGAAAGTTAACCACCACACTTAGGATGCCTGTGTTGATTTGGAAAATTTGAGGTTTTACTCCCTTTTAGAAGAAATATTTAATGTGATTCTTGCTGAGCTGACTGAGAATAATCAGTTTCAAAATTAAGTTGTCTTTTAAATACTAGTTAATTAACAAAGAAATTTCTTTTCATGTATTAGAGTACTGTATAAAGTGAACTTATTTTTCAACATGGAATTTCAGTATCCTTAATGACAAATTTTTTAATTTTTGATTTGTAGACTCAGTTGACAATATTCATTCTGTTCTAATGTAGAAAGTACTGTCTTATCACTATACTTCTACTATAAGCAATCTAAATTGATAATATATAATATAGAGAAGCTTAAGAAACAGAAGTTTCAGGCAAACATCCGATAATCCACTAAACTTTCTTCAAAAATCCCATTTAAAAATTTTATATATATACCTTTTTTTTTTTTTTTTTTTGAGACAGAGTCTTGCTCTGTTACCCAGGCTGAAGTGCAGTGATGCAATCTTGGCTCATGCAACCTCTGCCTCCTAGTTTCAAGGGATTCTCCTGTCTCAGCCTCCCGAGTAGCTGGTATTACAGGTGTATGCCACCACGCCAGGCTAATTTTTGTATTTTTGGTAGAGGGGGGGTTTCACCATGTTGGCCAGGCTGGTCTCGAACTCCTGACCTCAGGTGATCAGCCCACCTCAGTCTCCCAAAGTGCTGGGATTACAGGCATGAGCCACTGTGCCTGGCCGATTTATATTTTTATAATCCAATTATACACCCCAAATCTAACACAAGGACTATACAATACATGCTGAAGAAAAAAAATCATTCACTTAATGGGGATAATGAAGATGATATAAATTATGTGAAAGCATTTTGTGGAAATTTTCGTAACTATCAAGGTTTTGTATTCTTTGGGCTTATTTAAAATTCCAAGTGTCTCTCCTCTAAATTTTAAAATTCATCATAGAGGTTAAAATCTAGTATAGTGTTTTTCAATTTTTTTTTTACTACAACCCATAGTACAAAATACATTCTACATCACAGCCTAGTAAACATATTTGCAAACATAAAACCAGAAACAAACCTTTTAGTATACAATGCTTACCCATGTTATGTTCTAGTCTACTTTATTTCATTTTTCTAAACATGCTGCTCATGAACCACCAAAACTGCTTTTACAAGCAACAAATGGGTCACACCACAGAGTTTGAAAAACACCAGTGCAAAACTCATTACAAAGAATACAGCTTAAGAGTTCGGCAGTGATGCTTTACGACAGAAAGGCTCTATACCAGGTGCTGTGTGAGTGACCATACGAAACATAGATATAAAATGAACACCACGCCCTAGCAGCCCACAAAACATTCAGAAGTCTGGAAGTCAACGAGGGAGGCTATACATCGACAAAATGTGAGGGAACATTCCTTCCTGTTTGAGTGGATGGGAGAGGGTTCAAGGAGGATATGGGATTTTACTGAGGACTTAAAAGACTGACTGAATTAAGCCTAGGGTAGGATGAAAAGAATGAGAACAATCTAGATAAAGGGAACAGCACAAACAAAGACACACAGCTGGGCCAAGCAGAAAACTCTAAGGAACAGGAAATGGCAGCACAGGGATGGAACAGTGGGGTTGGAATCAGATTCTGGGAGACATTCTGGGCAACAGTCACATGTTTAGAATTTTCTTCTAGATGAAATGGGAGGCTTGCTGGATAAGAGGGAGAGTTTTGTTCTATTCCAACAGGAGCAGATAACAGGGTGAAGACCAGAAGTCAGGTCTCTGACTCAGTTTTCCCAGAGTGCTCACTGCACTGTTGCTGCCTCACTGCCCTACAGCAGTAAAAGGCCTTCTACAGGCGGCAGCTCCAGGTGGTCTACAGACGCATCTAACATTAATATTCAAACACAGAATTAGGAGTGAATTGAGGATTTACTTAGGAAGTGTACTAAAGCCAGATACTTCACTGCTATCTATCTTATCAAAAACAATGGCATTATCTCCAGTAAATCAGAAGCTGTTTTACTAGGGGAAAGGACATGAATCTGAAAACTAGACAGCATTCTAAAGCTGTGGTTCTAAATCCATTTTTTCCTTCTTGGTTACAGATCACTTTGCAAATCTGATGGGAAAAAAGGCTAAATATAAAAGCTAAAGATATAAAACTTCTGGGGGGGAAAAGGACTAAATTTTCTTGACCTTGGAGTATAAAAAGTTTTCTTTTGAAAACAAAATGCACCAACCATAAAGGAAGAAAACTGATGAACTATACTTCCTCAAAATTATCTTCAAAAAAACTACTAGGAAAATAGGAAAGCCAAAAACTGGGAGAAATTTTCAACAAAACATATATTAAAAAACAGACTTGTATCCGGGATATATAAACAATTGTAACAACTCAATAATAAGAATACAATCCATTTTTTTAAAAAAAGGCAAGTCACTTAAGCACTTCACCAAAGACATATGAATGCCTAATAAGCATGTGAAGAGATGTTCAACATCGTCAGTTACCAGAAATGCAAATTAAAACCATAACAAATTATCACTGCATGTCCACTAGAATGGCTAAATTTTAAAAAGATGGAAGAAACAAGTTTTGGTAAGGATTTGGACTAACTAGAACTTACATATTGTTGGTTTAAAATGGTGAAGCACTCGGTAAAATATAAATATTCTTGTACATATATCATTTGTGAATATGCCTAGGATAAATTCCTTCAACTGGGAATGTTGGGTAAAAGGGCTGTAACTTTTATAGTGTCAAATGACTTTCCACAGAAGTTGTGCCATTTTATATTCTCATCACCAGCGTTATGCTCCCAAGTTGATTTCCCTCACATCCTTATCAAGATAGTATACTATCAAAACTTTCAATCTTTGCTGTTCTGAAAAAAGACATTTCATGTGGTTTTAATTAGCATTATGTATCTTCGTATAGAGGAATTTGCATTTTTCTTTTTCATAAAGTTGGCCCGTTTTATTGTTAAATTGCTGGCCTTTTCTTATTAAACAATTCTTTATATATTAAGAACTCTTTATATATTAAGCCGTTGGTTTGTAAAATATGTCATAAATATTTTCCAGTTTTATGTATCTTCTGACTTTGTATGCCATACTCTTATGCCATATGAAAATCTGATGTGTGGTCAAATCGATCATTTTTAAAAATGGCCTCTGGGTTTACACAATAATTAAGAAGGCCACCCTCACTTTCAAGATTATGAAAACATATCTTCATATTTTTTCTAGTACTTTCATGGTTTTACAATATTACATTTACATTTATGCTCCATCTGGAATGTATTGTGGTATAAGGTATACAAAAAGAATCCAACTTAATTTCTTTCAAATGTTTATGCAATGGCCTCAGCATCATTATTAAAACAATCTTCATTTCCCCTGCTAATTTGGTAACTTACTGAATTCCCATATATAGGGAAATCTCTTTATGGACTTTCTATTCATTCTGTTATACTGACCTGTCTGTCTTATCATGTACCAGTGCCACATAGTTTTAACTATTAAAGCTTTATATTATATTTTAATATCTTACAGATTTAATTCCCCCTCATCACTCTTCATTTGTAGAATTTTCTGGCTTATTTTACTTAATTGTTTGAGGATTCTGAATTTGGTACAAAAATATTAGTAACATGAGTAAGGAAACACTAATAAAAATGGAATGGCATATCTTGATCATTGTGACAACAGAACATAAAAGAAGAGAATACCCAGGCTGGGCAACACAGTGAGACCCCGATCTCTAAAAAAAATTTTTTTTAATTAGCTAGACATGGTAGTGCATACCTATAGTCCCAGCTAATTGGGAGGCTAAGATGGGAATATCACTTGAGCCCAGGAGGGTAGAGGCAATAGTCAGTAGTGATTGTGTCACTGCACTCCAGATCAGGTGACAAAGACTCTGTCTCCAAAAAAAAAGGAGAAGAGAATACCAAGAATGTCTGGTAAAAAAAAAAAAGAACATATGTATCATCTCAAAAAACAACGTAAGATCTTAAACATACTAATGGCCCCATCTTCTAATATAAGGTGGAACTGAATGCTCGTTCACTGGCAAAAAAGCACAGGACAAATATTGAGGGTGGAAATGGGAGTGATCAGACATCAACTTTTGAGTCCTTAAGGAGAAAATAGAGCCTGTTTTCCTTAATAACATAAACCTTGCAGATATGCAGATTCATCAACAGCCACCTGAACCCAGTGCCTAGATTTAACAACGATGCTGACCATCAAGAACATTTAGTCGGCTGGGCACCGTAGCTCATGTCTGTAATCCCAGTACTGTGGGAGGCTGAGGCAGGCAGATCACTTGAGGCCAGGAGTTTGAGACCAGCCTGGCTAACATGGTGAAACCCCATCTCTACTAAAAATATAAAAGTTAGCCGGGCGTGGTGATACGTGTCTATAATCCCAGCTACTCTGGATGCTGAGGCACAACAATCGCTTGAGCCCGGGAAGCAGAGGTTACAGTGAGCCAAGATCGCACCACTGCACTCCAGCCTGGGAAATGGAGCGAGTCTCTGTCTCAAAAAAATAAAAATAAAAATAAAAATAAAAATAAGGATATTTAGTCAATGAACATTATATAAATCCTCACTACGTAACAGGCACTAAAGGCTGGAACAAAAAGATGAACAAATTCATGCCTCTAGATAATTCACAACCTACTGGGAATGACAAAGCTGGATTAAGATGAAGTATGCATAAAACATAATAAATATGACAGTATACAACTATCCCAAGTTTCTAAATTTTCACAGTGCTCTAAGAAGGTAA